CTCTGTGTACTCTAAGAGGTCTTGATCATGCCACAAGCAGAGCCCAGTGTCCAAAGGTTCCAGACAGACCCCGCAATCTTCGGTCCAGCAGGGTCCATTGGCATTATAATGATAATTACAGATTATATGGGAGGGTTACGAGATTATATCGTTTTTAGATTTAGTTTTTCGGCACATTTATGTTGGGTGGTTTGTGACATTAGGTATAAGTGCTGTGTGTTCTTTTTTTTCTGTATAATAATATCTTTGTAGATATTTAAGCAGCAACTGTTTATGTAGTAGTGAGTTTTAGTTTCTAGTGCTGTATATGTGTGCCTATAAATGTAAATATATACCCGTGGGCATTAAAAAACAACTGTCATAGCTGCCAAACTCGTTGGCAGATGCGCAACAGGACTCACCTATGTAAAATAGAAAACATTAGTATAATTTGAAAGCTTCTTAAATTCCCTTTATTTTTCTTTTTAAAATATCAATAAAATAACTTCAAACTACAAAATACATAATACATGCCTTAAAATGAAACATTTACATAGTTATAAAAATATAGAAATACAAAAGAAATTATTTGCTTTATTAACACTAGTCCACAAATTCAACAAATGGCAGGTACAATATTAGATACAAAATCTTTGGGCATAAAACCGATATATATAAATATATAATTTTTTTACAAACCGAATGCCATTCAAAAAAATTTACAATTTTAGAAAAAATATTTATATGTACACCATATGTGTAATTTTCTGTACATTTGTTCACACTCCAGAACATTATGCTTCAAGTCTGCAATGAGCAACAATATTTCTAAGAAAATGTAAATAGTGTTTAATATTAATGGTTTGGTTTGCAAAGATATTCCCAGAATTAAAGATAGCACCTGAGTATGAGGACATGTTTTATTTAATTGAAACTTTCACGTCAATGTAAAATCTTTGAAGGGTCCAAGATAAACCCATGATTTAAGAGAAAAAAGCCACTTTGCGTGTTTCAATTGTAGTCTGTATTTACAGACTGGTTGAAAACTATAATTATATGTTCAGAAATTAAATATTTTAGAACAGTTACATATGATATGCGTTTCTCAAATACTGATATTCAAGCCCTGTAAGCTATAGTGCAGATATTATTATAGAAGATAAGATCATCAAAAATACAATTACCCTCCCCCCACATACTGATATTTTAATCATTGTTTTAATGAATAAGAATCAAAGTTATATACTGATCCGGGACCCCACTTGCTTTATTTAATTTCAGTGCAAGGTGCAAAGATGTACAGCAAGCTGTTGCAATCAAGGTCTAATGAAAGCTGAAATCTGATGGGTTGCTATGGGTTACTTTGCGTCATAACATTCAATTACCAAACAAAAAACAAACAAACACAAAACAGCCATCTATAGATTGTGCATTTCTTAACAAGTAAAAACACAGGTTAAAATTAACTCCAAGAAAGTGACTTTGCTTTCTTAAAATAAAAAGTGATTTACTCTATTATGTGTTTAAAAGAAAATAAATAAAAAAATAAAAGGTTTAGTGAAGGCCAATCAACTAAAAGACAGAGTATATTTTGTTAAATGTACAGAGTACAAGTATGCATGTGGATGTTTTGTTAACTCAAAGAAAGTGAATTTGCTTTCTCAAAATAAAAATAAACTGTGTTTTAGTCCTAGTGAAAGTCAATTACCTAAAAATATGATACATTGTTTTGGTAAATGTACAGAGTACACATATGCACGTGGAAGTTTTGTTAAATGTACACACTGGCATAGTGTATGGCACTATCTTGTGTTCTACCCTATTAATAAAAAGGGAACCTTTACATAAGCATAAAGTCCATAAAAGCAAACACCATACAACAATGATAGCTGTAACAAATTGAGTTTTCTGCATGATGCATGTCAGCGCAGTCCTGCATATAGGTAGATGCAGAATGTAGTCCTAGCAATATTTTGTGGACCACTATACTGGCTTGAACTGACACACACCGACGTGCAGGAATCTCTGTCATTTAAAGTTACAGAGAGAAGCCAATGGGTACTTTTAAGTGTGGAGCTTCATGCAACTGTTATAGCATCATAATTTGCCAAGTTTTTTAAATTCAGATCTACAATTTGTATAAAAAGCAATATGCACATTTCTCAGCAACTTGAAAACTGTTGCAGTGTGCCACACTAGAAGAAAATCATCTCATCTCATGCTCAAAGTTTCCCCACTGACGTCTATACTTATACAGTGAGCATCAGCTAAGTAAACAATTTGCATACAGCAATTTTGATTGTAGCCCTATTGGAGAAAAAGAAAAATGTTCCAGCAGACACAGCCACCTTTAAGTTTAACCAAGGCTCTTATGATTTCAGGCTCCTAAACTGAGTCATCCCAATACAGAGTGCCAAATGAATTGATCTACCTACACAATATCTGCTTTGAATCCCAAAAGAGGATATCTTCAGGGGAGCAGTGAAACCAGCACAGGACTTCTGCATGTGTAATATATCTATATTTTCTGGTTTTCTATGTATTCAAAACTTGCCTCATATTTCATTTTGAAATTCAATTATTTGATTGTATAGATAATATGAATACTACACAATGTGGTTTCATATGCTACTGAATGTACACTACGGAATGTCTAATTCTGCATTTTGTAAAGTTTGAGAAAATTAATAAAAATGTTCTGGTTAAAGTGCATTTCAAACCAAAAAATGTAATATACTGGAGCTTACCAATTCTAAAATGTGGGGGGTGCATTAGTTTTCTTTTATAAGGCTTTTCTACTTTATTTTCACCTGGTAATGTGGTCAATATGTCTGTTATTTTTCAGCTTCCTTTAACAGGCCAAGCTGTCCAGCAAAAGTGGCAGGTAAAGGGTTGAGACAAACCATTTAACACTGACAGGGGTGCTTAAAATGCTTAGTTTATGAATGTATGCAAAACCTTGTAACTACTTAAAAAGTGTTAGATGGAGTTTAGATTTAAGCTGTTAGTCAAGTCCATCTAAACTATTATCTCCACAGAGTAACAGTGCTGCTATACAAGGATGGTTCCATTGTTCTTCCATAGAGTGAAGCCACACTAGGACAGGAAGTGTGTTACTGGTCGGATCATGAGGTGAAAATAAATCAAACAAAAAAGGCTAAAAAATAAATCTAACGCAGCCACCACATTTAGGGATTGGTAAGCTGCAGTGTATGACATTTTTGCTTTTGGGTTCAGGTGTGCTTTAATGTTCAAAACTAGCGACAATATGTTGTTCTGTCACCACTCATATGTATTTAGTATAACATATTTGTTTCTAAATAAATATATTTAGTATAGGTCTTGACTAGTACTTGATTTCAGTGTCTGATACAAATGAAGATATATTTAGCAGGGCAAACAAAATTTGCACTGAACAATTCCCATGTACAATAAGTCTATAGAAAAAAGGTATTTGTTTTGCATATAAATTATCCCCTGTGGTTTGCAAATGTTTGCACCTAATTTTGGATCAAAGAGGAAAAAAAAACAAAACTTAAAAATAAGACACTGGAGAAAAAAAAAACTCGGAGGGCCATTTCACTCAGTGCTCAGTTGCAGTACATTAATGCACGCTCACTAACCTGCTGCCAATGCACCACAAAGGCCCCTTGTTTAGCAATGCAGCCCACCGCATCACACAATATGGGAATCTTGATGCACTGCAGTACGGTACTGACTGTTGTACAGTACGTTGGGGTGCCATCCACAATGAATTGCACCACAACACACCACACATAGAGCAGAGAGTATTGTGGTAACGTGTGTTATCGCACATGTTTTAGTGCGCGGTACTGCAACGTAAGTGTGACAAGATCCTCAATGTTAATATTTTACTATGCTATGTGTTTTACGGCTGTAGCAGTTTTACACTCAAGCTGTAATAATTCTCAGCAAAAAATGATTGCAGGTTAATGAATGATAGGGTGCAGAAATTCAACAAAATGGCAGCCTCTGTTAGGTTTGGGTAATACACGCTTCATGAAAAAACCAACAGCTGTGGCTTCACAATATTGTCACAAAATATTATACTGATGGCTGAAATAACATTGTTCCTGCTCATTACATGTCAAACTCTTAACTGGACCAGTGGCATTCCAAACTAATGAAAACATCTGAACTCTTAATAAAATACCTAAACACAACATCTTACAAAAATACCTGCTTAGAGAAAAAGAGCACCTAAATGAAGGGAATGCTGGGGCATCTTGATTCTTAGACATCCCGATATGCTGATGCATGTCATTGTTTGCATGATGATCTCCATTTACTTCTATGATTAACAAAGGTTGCTATGCAGTGTCTTCACAGAACACGGCTGCAACATGCATACAGTGGACACATCTCCAAGCATTTTCTGCCCATTGAAGTGCTCTGCAGCATGATTCTAAACCATGAGTGCATAGAAACCTATATTTATTATACAAGTCAATGTGACCCGTCATGAACACAGTGTCATGCTTCACAGCATAGGTACATGATGACAATCTGAGTTTCCATAACTTTTGTGTGTGCCAGCCCTTAAAATTTCAGAAGTGGTAAGTGGTGTCTTTGTTCGTGTGGTGATTTACAATTTTGTTTACAATGTTTCATACAATAGCTCCAAAGTATTGGAAAGTAAAATGTTGCATTAAAATGTGTACTCACTGATTCAGACAGTAAAGATCATACTTGAAACCTCAGCACCAAATTTTAAAAACAAATATAAAATGGTGTAACTGAGGCACGTGTCAGACACACCTCACAGGAAAACTGGGTACGGTGGAAAACCTAAAAGTAACATGCCTGAGGACACACGTTCAAGTCATTAGATAAGAACTAAATTTGCCTTATTCATGGGAATATAATCAATTTTCGAAAACATCTTTCCAATATTTTGCTGGTTCAACAAAACGCTCTTGTCATCTCTCATTTTCACAAACGTTAAGAGAATAACTTATGTTGCATACATTCCCTTCACTGTAGCAGGTTACAACAGTGTTAAAACTCTCCAGTTTACAGTAAAAACTGTATTCAGGTTAATTCATACATCCATTTATTTCAGTGTGATGCGTAGGGCGCCTGGTGTCTTCTCCTGAAATCTACATGAAAAAAGAATGACAAAAACACAAAATGAATAGCAATAAAAATGTAGTACTACATGGTAACTGATGTGAAGAACTGTAAAGACACTATTACATTGAGGAAATGAATACATTACTGCAACACACAATACAAGTGTCAGTGTGTTGAGGTGTCATTCAAGGTCACCACAATGCACAGAAACATACACGCACTAAAACAGTGCATGTCTGATATGTTGGGGCATTTTGGTGTAGTGGCTAGCCATTTATTTGAATGGGCTGTCTTAACGCAATGCATGTTAATGCAAGCAAAAATGACTGCTAATGGTTGTGCAGCAACACAACGCATCAGGTGTGGTAACACCATTATTGTTCTAATAAAAAGGAGAAATATGATTGGTGACTGGGAAAAAATACTCTGCACATAACCACTGACAACAGATGTTTTGGTGGGTTGCTGGACTCTTTTGTCAATGCTGTTATTAGGGGCTAAGGGGCACCTACCCATAGCTTTGGAAAAAGTGAGCTGTGATCCAATTAAACATGCATTAAGTGGGGGTATATTTCTTACTAGAAAAAATTCTTACTAGAATGAATCAAGCTTTGTGGCGCTCTCATCCTTCTGATGCTCTAAAACGACTTATGGCAACAAAACTGCTGATGTAGCGGTACATGTTTTAGTCTCCAAACTGATCCCCTGTGAAGCCCATCAAATCCAGGGCTTAGGCTGTACATAGTTTCTTGAGGTTAGACCACACCCCCTTCAGTTCTGTCAAATGGCAGATCATTAGAAGGCAGTAGAGGGTCTGGCATTTGATACATTTTTTATGGGGAGAAGTATGGCTCTGCGTACCGCCTGGGCCTAGGATGCAAATGTCTAAATAGGGAGCGATTTGAAGACTAATACGAGTAATAGCAGGCACTGACACTTATTAGGATAGGTCAGGTTTGCTTCAAAAATTAACAACACAAGTACTTAAAATCATAATGTGCTATATAGGCGTGTAGCAACTACTGAGCTTCAGGGGAAGGAAATTTTAAATCAAGTTGCAAACCTGTAGCTATGCAGGACCCACAAATCTCACCGGATGCATTATTCTGAAGGGTTAAAACCTGAGGTAACTCAGCTCTGTGTTAGAGAGCAGGGAAACTGGCAGCAAACTTTAAAGTCATATAGGAAAGGCAGTGAGGGGAATTTATCAAAACTGGAGCAGCTGCCCATGGTAACCAATCAGCTTCTCTCTTTCATTTTCAAATCGTAACTGAACTGAAGAGAGGAGCTGATTGGTTGCCATGGTCAACTGCTCCGGGTTCTGTCTGCTCCAATTTTGATAAATTCCCGTCATTGTGTATAACTAAAAGTAGACTTACCTGTAGTCATGATTTGTGAGGTAGTCTACGATTGCTGGTTTAATGCGTGGGACACCTCCCTGGCTACGATTCCCTCTTCCCGTTATCAGAAGAAGGTGTGGGCTGCCACCATTCTGTCTATAATCTGTCATACACACAAAAGGTTGCAAAGTTTAAAATCTGGATGCTTTCTTAAATTGTACATTCTTAAGTCAAAACAAATCAGTTTTCTTTGACTAATTATTAGCTGCAAAAACATATTTTAATATGCAAAAAGCAATTAGCAAACTCAAAAAACCCATAGCAACATCATGTCAACAGAATTCATTCCTTGCTTTTCAAAGTGATCTCAGCTGATGCAGTTTAATGTGGGTTTCTGCAGAGTGTACATTATCAATGCTCATTGTATTGCTTTATTATTTTAAAAAAACAGTTGTTCTGATTTATTCTGGAGACGGCAACCCGCAGATGCTGCAGTGCCGTCCGTCCGTTTTTTTACTACGGGTGGACGGCAAGAGGTTAAGTGATCTTTATTTACTTACCATTCAGAGAGAATTGTGAAGCAAAACAAAAACAGAAAATATATATTGCTTTTCTTTTACCTAAAAAATCCTTGTCTTAGAGTACATAACAGGGCACATGGAGTTAGTTCTGAGACAAATGGATTATGTGGCTACCTTCAGGAGACCGGACACTGGTTGGTTAAAACCGTAAGGACAGCCCTGTATAACTCCTTCCACTCCCATCCTGCTGCAGTTTAGTAGAAAGCAGTACAAGAGTGGAACACAGAAAAACAAAGGAGAAGGTCCTGTGATGTACTCCAAGAAACACATTTTACAGTTAAACAAAAATCCTGTTATCTTGATCGTACATCACAGGAACGTCCAAAAACAGTCCAACAGAGTGGCAGGCAACACAGCAAACAACGGCCCACAGGCCCATGATATACACAAACAAACCTCAACAAAGAACTATAATGAAAGTGGCCCATTATTCAGAGGGCCATCTAAAACACTTTGCAACTGAAGCTGGTATCCCCTGAGGCCTGAAAGTCCACCGGGTAGAACTTGACAAAAGTGTGAACTGAGGACCAGCCTTACAGATTTGGGCCTCAGCAGTACCGTATCCTTGTGGATGACCAGAAAAAACTCTTTACAAGTCAAGGCCACCGACTCAAAAACACACCTAGCAGAAGGAATGGCAATGAGGAAGACAACCTTGCATGTGGGTCAGTGGATTATTTCTGAGAGGTTTAAAGGGCAGTTTCTGAAGAGCCGCAGAAGTTGAGGTTCCCTGGTGTGCACACAGGGGAGGACAACGTGAGCCACCCCCCCCCCCCCCCCCAAAAAGACCC